CAAAACAATAAACTGAGCAGGACTCTCCTGTGAAGCAGTCTCGAGACTCGGTGAGGCTTTGCTGGGTGGACACGCGGCGTCGTCATCATCATCATCATACCATCACGTTGCCACAGCGGCGGGGGTGATGGTGAGCAGCGTACTGGGCTTGCGACGTAGAGGTCGCCCGCTTCGATCCAATGTCCCCGCGCGGCAGTTGAAACGATGCTGCAAGTTTCCTAGACCCCCCTCCCCACCACACAGTCCTCTATGCACCCAGCAGAGTAGACGGACGTCTTCACCGCGGTCAGTCTACAACGGGCAGCTCGCTTTGCCCCCCCCCCCCCCCCAGCGAGGGGGCCCCGCTAATGAGCACCGAGGGGCCCTTTGGCTCGCGCACCTGTGCCGCTGCATCAGCAGTTTAGTTTTCTTCTTTCCCTACGCCTGTTCAAAAATACTAACACGCTCGCCTCCGGCGATTAGTCCAGCAGGAACAGTCGTCGTCGTCGTCGACGTCATGAGCAGCAGCAGCAGCCACGACCAATCCACTGCTGGATGAAGGTCTCCCAAAGCTGTCGCCCTCTGCCGTACTTCCTGCGGTGCGACATCAACGGAGCGCATCCACGGAAGCCGACTGAATAATGGCTCCATCTCCTTGTTAACGGGCTCCCTCTCTCTCTCTCTCTCGGGCGCGTTCCCTCCCTTGGCTGCTACTCCGTCCTCGTAGTCTCGACCAGTGGCCACCATCCCGTGTCGCCATGACGCGTCCTGCCCAAGCGCAACTTTCTCCTCCTCGCACTCACGGTGTGATGGTGCCTCTAACGCGCGTGCGTTCTCGAGTCCATGTCTTCCCTGCCTGCCTGGCCAGCACAAGCACAACAACGTACCCACCTCCCCACGCTTCTTTGCGCGCGTTCCAACCTGCTGTTCCGTCCTCCGTGTCGACGTCCGTGTTTATGATCCACCCCGGCTCAGCAATAGGAAGACTTAGGGGGTGGTGGTCGTGGTGTTGGGGGGGCGAATGTTGTGGCGCTGAGAGGCCAAGGAGGCCGCAGCGCGTGGAACGGACCCTTTGGGGGCCGGGTGGAGGCGGTTCAGCACGAATCGCAGCCAATTCCCACGGCACTTTAGTCTGCAGCCGCGCGCATCACAGCAGAGCCTCTTGGTTAATCTTCCGAGCGAATGGTAAAGCCACGCCGCCTCTCACACACATTTAAGGCGATCAAAAGCTCGCGGCGGCGTCACGGAGGTTGTGTCGTGAGCGCGTGCGTGGGGCAGGGGGGGGGGCGAGAGTGCCACGTCACAGGCTCGGTGTTGCAATGAGCGCCACGTATTCTGGCTGCAGTGTTCACGTCCTCGAGGGATGTTCTGCCGATCAGCGCTGGGCTTTAAACAATAATGAACGTCGTTGTCTCCCCCACCCCCACCCCCCGTGGGTTTTAGACAACTTGCGCCATCGGCGTCGAGTCATCACGACATGAATCATCATCCGCTCCGAGCTCTCGCTCAGCGGCGTGCAGCCCGTCCTGCTAGAGAGCGGCTCGTGGAAGCGGACACAGCAGAGCTACCTCTGAGATCCATTCAAGTCACCTCTGGTCCACAAAAGGAGGCAGCAATCTCCCACCCTCTGTGCCACCAAAATGAATCGATGTTTACATTCTCACGGCTGGAATTTAGGCAAATTAATTGCAGAAGCGAACGTAATGCTTTGGGGTTTTTTTTTTAGTAAGGCATCACGTGAGTCATGCACGCGCACGGTTCATTTTTTTTGTAGTTTTACAAACGTCGGGTTGAGTCGCCGGCCTTCCGTCACGCTTCGCTCTGACCAACATGTGACTCGGTTAACAGATGACTCGGAGTCACGTGTTGACAATAGCCCTGGGCACGGCGGGATTGCTTTACGACGTCCTCCAGCTGTGAGCGTGCGCGATGTGTGCTGGGCACACTGCTGGGGAGGCGTGTCGCTAGCTCCGTGCGCTCTTGGCGTCGGCATGAACTTCACACACGCCGGCCGGTCAGGACAGAGAGGGCATCTTCCACGTTCATTTCTGGGTAAACGGACACTGCGGTGAGAATCACGCGAAGAGTTTGCCCGTGACGATCTCCGGTTGAAAGAGATTGCTAAGCTCACACAGGAACAAGGACAGAGAGACCCTTTTTATCAATCCACACGCCTCCCAGACTCTAAACCATCTGTGTCTGTGTGTGTGGCCTTGTCTTTACACTGTGGGGTGCTATTGGTGTCACGTGATGAGACTAAGATAATGTTCATTGGGAACTCTCATCGCTAGCGGTGCACCACCCCGTGACAGAGAGATCATCGCCAGAAGCTGACGTCACAGATATAGTTCTGAATTCGATAGTCTTGAACCAGATGCAGGGCCGGATTAGCGCAGTGGAATTGTGGGTTGCAGGAATAATACAGCTGTATAATAGTTGAAGCGCTTTACACGAGCACAGTGATACGTCCTGTAGATGATTTTGGTAAATAAAGCCATGGCTTCCCGATGTGTTTTACTCGTAGTTAGGTACCGATGTTCATTTGAACTTTGGAGCGGTAAAAGCCACAAATCTAGACTGAAAACTCATTTCTTTCGAACTGCTTTTTGTATTTAGTTTGTTGTACTTCCCCAGTACCTCCGATTAGCACGGTTGGCTATGTACGGTGCGAAAGAAGTTCAACATACACACAAATACAATAATCAAAGCCGGAAGTGAAATCACCGAGCGGTTGGTTGGAAGGAGTCGCGCTTGAGGCCAGCAGACAACGTTCACTTCGGGACACGGGGCAGAGGTCGCAACCGGGTACCCGATACCCGTGCCCTACCCGATACCCGGCTACCCGTACCCGGCCGGGTACGGGTACGGGTAGACTGTGAGTCACTGGTGAGTCACCGTTTGTCACTCATTTCCCAACGTCTTGTCTCTTCTCACAATTCAAGTTCCTAGAATCAACCCACCCACGCCTGCAACAGGGCTTCATCCCAGAGGTCGCAATCAGGTACCCGATACCCGTACCCTACCCGTACCCAGCCGGGTACGGGTAGGGTATTGGTACGGCCGGGTACGGGTACCCGTTTGCGACCCTGGTGCGGCCGGGTATGGGTACGGGTAAGGAATCAAAACCCGTTTGTGACCTCTGACACGAGGACAGCCGCTGTGGACCCACCGGGACTGTCCCGGCCACACTGGGACGTTTTATAGCAGTCACGGATCCTGGGGGGTGGGGGGGGGGGCAATGGGGTCAATCTTGACCCCCCCTCCCCCCTTGACACCCATAAATTTGCTATGTTATTGACATTTACCAACCAAAACTCATTGAATGATTTAACATTTAATATAGGGCCCTATTTTTAAAAGCTTAAAATTTTCACCACTGGCCCCGCTCCCACACCTTTTGAAGTTGCTAAACCCACCCTCTCCTTAGTAGCCTTAAGCCATGATGAACTCCCAGCCACTGCTGCCTAACCGTGTTTCATGGGAGAGGGGGTTGCAGATTCTTGGCATGCAACCACCAAACTCACAGCTCTCCCCCCCCCAGGTCCAAACTCCCGCACACAAAGCCACCGATGGCATTACCGCGTGACGCACGTTTCTTCTCTTTGGAAAGGAGGCAAGAAAACAAGAAACACTGTGATGTTCTCTCCCCGGCTCGGTAAACAGGCTGGGTGTTGACAGAGGGTGAGCGAGCGAGCGGGCGGGGGGGGGGATGCAGAGTGTCGCTGCGGGCCAAGCACCACGCGAGTTCCCTGCGACGTTCCAGCAAAAGAGAGGGGGGGGGGTAGAGAGCTCTCGGAGAGAGCGGGCGGGGAGACGGCCGCACGAGGGAGAGTTTCTCCGTCTCCCGATTACCACCGGGGAGCGGTGCTCGTGTCATCGCCACCCAGTGAGGGTGACCCACAGTAGAAGAATGTGCGAGAGGACGAGTGCGGTTTGGGCGTTCTCTCTTTGGCTGGGTGAAGTGGCAGACCTGAGCGGTGCGTGTGGTGTGAGGTGTGTGGTGAATGCCGTGTGGTGTGCGGTGTGCCGCGAGTGTGGTGTTGCGGTGTGTAGTGTGCGGTGTGTGGTATACGGTGTGTGTGGTGTGGTGTTGCGGTGTGGTGTGTGGTGTTGCGGTGTGGTGTTGCGGTGTGTGGTGCGTGGTGTGTGGTGTTGCGGTGCGTGGTGCATGGTGTGTAGTGTGTAGAGTGTGGTGTTGCGGTGTGTGGTATACGGTGTGTGGTGTGTAGTGGGTGCTGTTGCGGTGCGTGGTGTGTGGTGTGCGGTGTGCCGCGAGTGTGGTGCTTGGTGCGTGCTCAGGCTCCTGATTTCGGGTTGTTTGGCCAACGCGTACAGCGCAAGGCCACCACAAAGGCGGCGTGCCCCGCAGGCGCGCAGAGTCTGCTGAAGTTTAAAAGCAGGCGGTCGTGTCGCCCTGTGGTTTCTGCACAAAGTTATTTGCAAATCATTGTAAAATTTGGCAAATGTGGACCGTGACGCTGGCACACACAGCCTCATATTATTTTTTTTGTCAAGCCAGAGGATTTTTAACAGCCACCATGAAGCTCACGGCACGTTTATTTTGTTTGTGGTGACGCTGTACTCCCGCAGTATTAACCCGGGTGGTTGCTGGGGTCGAACCGCGAAAAAATAATCCGCAAAAAGCGGCGAACAGTGCCACCGCTGGGCCATGAGAAGACGGCTAGAGGGCCATTGGACACGAGCAGGGCGTTTATCAATGGATCGCCCTGCACAATCGATCTTTTGCCAGTGAAGCTCCCAAGCGTTGGAACGCTTTGCTAATGAGACATTCCGAGTGGTTAGCTACATTTAAGTCTGTTCTTGAAAACTCGCCTCTATTAAACTGACCTTTAACCCCATAAGCTGTTTACCTGGCAGGTTCCGTTATTTCGTGCTTTCCGTACACGGTGGTGTATTGGTGGGATCTATGGACAAAATGCGGCAACTTCACAAATGTAAATCATCGTTGTGGTTGTTGTTGTTACGATTACCGTTGTTTATTAATCGTTTGGCACTCGCAGGGCGTCTCCGCCGCCGGGCTCACGATGGCCGTGAATGTTTACTCGACGTCGGTGACGAGCGACAACCTGAGCCGCCACGACATGCTGGGGTGGATCAACGACTCGCTGGACCTGTGCTACGGCAAGGTGGAGCAGCTGTGCACCGGTACGCGGCGGCGCCGGCAACTCTCATTACGAACGCAGTGCCACGGTGGGAGGGATGTTAACTCCCTCGCCTGGTGTGCAGGAGGTCATGGGTTCGATTGCGACCACGAAGCCTGTATATTTGGAGTTTGCGTGTCTTTCGCCCCGTGGCCACGTCGCCTCTGAAAAAGAGCTATATAGCTCAGTGGGTCTTAGCTGGTAAAATAAAAAAACTGTTTATAGTTTTAATAAAAGCACGCGAGGCGTTGTTCTGGAAATAGCTTGAGAGGCCACTGTTTAATGTATGATTGTAATGATGACTTTATTGGAAAATGAACTGCTCACGTAGTTTTTTTTCTTATAGGCTGATTAATATTCTTGGGGGGTTACCAATAGCCGTCATTTGCCACGAAGTGACAGTGAGGTCACCACGGCACCTGTGCCAGGCCAGGTGCACTTTGAGGCCACTTGAAGTGTCGAAGGCTCTCTGACAGGAGGTCTCGGGACAGACCCAGCAGGTGCTATTGGTCGGCTGACTGAGATTACTGGTAGATGCACACCAGCTGTACCCCCCTACTGTGCCAACGTTTTAGCAATGTCGTAGGGTTGGCATAGGGTCTTTGTGCTTGCGAGTCTTGTCATATCCCAAATTCCAAAAGAAGTAAAATTGTAGTTTACTGCTCTTTGGGTCTTTCGGTAAAGTCACGTAGTTTACTATCCGCGGTTTCTGTGTGTGTGGTCACTACGGCGTCATGGTGCAGATTGCAAATTTTCATCTGGACGACAACCAAATCACAAAAATATATGATTCATCCGGTAACTTGTGTAATAAATTCCAGTGACTTAGACGTTTCACTGTGTCAGTCACAACGCATTTAAGTGAGTTCCCAAACGTGTGACATAACTTGCACACTTACGACCCTTTGTGAGTCCACTGCTGAATGAGGGCCTCGCCGCACCACGTGGTGTGTGCCATTTGACCATACTTCACCACGCCGGGCAGTGCGGGTTGGTGAAGGTGGGGCGGAGGAGAGTAAAAAATTGGATTCTCTACGCTGCCGTCTGCTGCCCATCGCGTAGCCCGGCAGCAGCATGCCGGCAGCCCATCCAAGCGCTATCCAGGGTCACCACCGCTTAGCTTCCGAGATCTGAGCGTACGCGTTCGAGATGATTGGGTCGTATGCGGTCATTTATGAGGCATCTAAATATCCCAGGTTTCCTAGAAAACGTAATTGAGATGTCATCATGGCCAAGGGGTTGGTGTTGCTAGTGGCACTTTCGGCTGCCTTTGCCTCGCCCCCAATGCTGACGTTTACACACCAGGTACCCATTTAAGGATGAGTCCACCTTGGGGAAGCCCAGTACCGGTTCGGACATTCACCACCGACGTTGTCGGTGAGAGGGAATCTAAATTCGAGATGGGGCCGATTCCGTCCGATTCGGTCGCTGAAGCAGGGAAATGACAAAACGATCGAAATTGAGAATGTCTCCATAAAAATCCGCACGCGTGGCTCCGCGCTGATGGCGATCGCTGTCCCGTCGGGCCCGCAGGTGCGGCCTACTGCCAGTTCATGGACATGCTGTTTCCGGGAAGCATCTTGCTCAAGAAGGTGAAGTTCCAGGCGCGGCTGGAGCACGAGTTCATCCACAACTTCAAGATGCTGCAGGCGTCCTTCAAGAAGCTGAACGTGGACAAGGTGAGAGGGGGAGCTGCCACAAATGAACCGCAACACCTCGCTGGTCTCGCCAAGGAGCATAAACCACCACGTGGTCTACGGTTATCCTCGTAGCAGCAGCGGCTTTTGGCTGGCCATCGAACTATGAAGGTCACCGCATCGCACGCTTTTCAGACGCACTTCTGCGGCCGTCTGGAATGCTCTTAACTTCCGATATTAGGAAGTCACTTGGAGCTAAGCACTTTTAAATCATCATCTAGGTTGAAAACCAATTTCTTTCGAACTGCTTTTTGTGTTTATTTTATTACCCTTCCCCCACACCTCCGATTAGCATGGTTGGCTACGTATGGTGCAAGTGAAGTTCAACATACATAAATGTAATGGTTACCACACTGGACTTGCAATGCAGAGGTCTAACATAAAGATCCCTTCTATAGTCAGCAAGAGTTGTTCGCCAGCAGCACCTATGAAGGCCGGCACAACACACTTGGGGGTGGGTGGCCAGCATCACACCCGGCCACCTTTATCACCCCGATGGCGATGTTTTTTACCCACCGCACAAGGTTACTGGTTTGAGGCTGAGTCGACCTAGGGGAGGCCTAGGACCGGTTCAGGTCTCAGGCACGCAAAGCCACACGACTGCGTGACGCACACACTTCTTTCATAAGGAGGCAAGAAAAGAAAACTGCTGTTTCTTTATGCAGCTCAGTCAATAGGTGTGGTGATGACAGAGGGGGGCAAGCGAGTGGAGTGCTGCGGCGCCAAGCACAACACGACGCCGCGTGATGTTTGACGCTCTAGTGAGCGAGTGAGAGACAGAGCAGCTCTTTGAGTCCATCAGTAGCCACTGTGTGCTGTAATTGCTGTCACAGTGACGCCGCTCGCCACTGTGACAGCACCACTGGACTCGCAGTTCAGAGGTCGCTGGCTCCATTCGATCTCCCGGCGGCGCGGCGGTTTAAACAATGGCACGAGTTTCTGAAACCCCCCGCCCCCCTCCTCCCGTCCCCCTGCGCCCCCCACCCCTCCTGCCCCCCACCCCTCCTGCCCCCCACCCGCCTCTGCCCCCCCCTCCCCCCAGCGGTATGAATGAGTACGCCGCAGATAGTCGACCGGGCACGTCGTGTGCGGTGGGTTAAAGCCTGGGTACTCCCTCCTCTTCCAAGACATCTGGCCATTGTGTGGAAGAGTAGGCCAAAGTAACCCCGAGGGCAGTGGTTCCTCACCATCTCTTGACCCGCGGTTTGCCGTCAGCCTTTCAACTATGTCCGCGGACACGCGCGCCCCTAATTCAGCCGATTTATCCAACGGCGAGACAGCTGTAGATCGTAGAAGGCCGCTTCGCACGGCACAGCGGACCACCTTTGGCCGCCGCTCTGCTGGAGGGGCCCGCTGGAGGGGCTCCCTCTTAGTGGAGGGCCTCTCGCGGACAGCGGGCGCGAGAGACGCCTCTGCCTCTTGCACGGCAGCAGCTAAACACCAACTTCCGTGCGGCGCTGCGCGCTCCCGCAGATCATCCCCGTGGACAAGCTGGTGAAGGGCCGCTTCCAGGACAACTTTGAGTTCGTGCAGTGGTTCAAGAAGTTCTTCGACGCCAACTACGACGGCAACGAGTACGACGCGCTGGGCGGGCGTCAGGGCCAGGACGTGCCCCCGCCCCCGATCCCGGGCCAGCAGATCTTCAACAAAGCCAGGGCCCGGCCCGCGATGGGTGGGTAACGCCACCCGACCGAGCAGGCGCTTCACAGGGCTGGGGGCACGCTGATGAATTCACCAGAGCTACTATAGTGATCCGATAACGGCTCCTCTCACACGCACACACACACACACCGTAACAACAACAACAGTCTCTCTTCACCGCTAAATAACGATGAAGTTGCCGGGGCCACTTGCGTCAGGCTAGGCGTGCTCTGAGGCTGTCACGTGAAGTGTGGGAAGCTCACCGCTGGCGGGCGGTCACAGGGGAGACGCAGGTGTTATGGGTTGACTGGCTGGGATGCTCCACCTGTGTTTCCCAAACGTGCGTGGCGCGCACGTCACGCTGACCCCTCCTCGGCTTGTCCCCCGTCCCTCCACGCGCAGCGGCCGGGAGGCCATCCCCCGCCGGACCGACCGGGCCCCGGCGCTCCAGCGGCCCCCCGACTCGGGGGACCCCCCTCTCGCGACCTCGCAACGGCACCAACGAGCAGGAGAACGCCATTGCCGCCGAGATCAACAACGAGGTGATTGGCGTGCGGCGCCCGGCCCACAAGGCCACGGCTGTCGCTGCGCAGCTCTCTCCGTGGTGCGTTCAGGATGAGTGCCCCGCGTGATCTTGGGCGCGACGTCCGACGTTTTAGAGAGGCGTCGTGTTGACTGTTGAGAATGGCACGCGGGCTTGGGCAGGATATACGTTGCTAGAAAGGAAAAACGCCGGTGGTTGAGACTAATTATGAAGTGGCCGAGAGAGCGCTCCGCTGCGGAGATGGAGTGATGAAATCGGCTCTAGACCGATCGTTGCATCGCGAGACCGTCAGAAACGTTGGCGGCCCAGGGAAGGCTTCGTCCGGCGGTGGATCGCTGACGGGCGATGACCGTGCCGATTGGCGTGCTCGTGCGACAGCTGGTGGACCTCAAGGAGAAGGTGGACGCGCTGGAGAAGGAGCGCGACTTCTACTATTCCAAGCTGAGGGACGTGGAGCTGCTGTGCCAGGAGCAGGACGAGGAGGAGGAGCCCATCGTGCGGCGAATCCTCGACATCCTCTACGCCACGCAGGTGCCTCTCTCTCTCGCCCCCCTCCCTCCCACCCTGTCACGCTGGTGTTCCTCTCTTGCCCCCCCTCTCTCTCACTCACCCGCGGTCCCCGGTCTCCAGGACGGATTCTCCGTGGACAATGTTCCCGAGGAGGAGCCGGAGCCCGAGGAGCAGGACGAGTACTGAGGACGACGCCGTCCGCGACGTGGAGCAGCGGCGCGGCCTCAGAGTGAAGACTCAGCGGCGGCAGGGGCGGCAGCTTCCCTTGGGAGTCTCATCACATGTTGGAATTGAGAAGATTAAGGAGGTTAAGGAGGCACTTGTGCCCACGAAGATGGTCTTTCCCCACAACGCCTCTTCCTCTCTGCTGCTACTGCAACTTCACTGTGCGTTATTTTGCGAACTATTGAAGTTAAACATTAAATCTCACGAGGAGACGTCCCTGTCACGACCGAGGTTTGCGCACGCACGTCCACCACATTGTGAGGATAGCCACAACGTCGTTCTCTTTATTTGATGCTGTCTCCGTGTCCGGTTTTATCCCGATTGTACCATCGCCGTTACGTTATCGAACGCATTTTTTATTCCAAGCGTCCCCGGGGGCCACACCTAGCCTTATGGAGGCCACACCGAGCCTTACTGGGGCCACACCGAGCCTTATGGAGGCCACACCGAGCCTTATGGAGGCCACACCGAGCCTTACGGAGGCCACACCTCGCCTTACGGGGGCCACCAGCTGAAGGAACCCAGCTGGAAACAAGTGCCACTGTTCACCAGAGACACTGGAGTCATCGGTCGATGCTGGAACTTCCAGCAGTGGCTCAGGACCAGCAAATGATATTCGTGCCGCCTGATGCTCGTCTGAGCAAGAGGACATTTACACGTTTATAACTGTTATAGATTTTTTGAGAATCAAGTTCTTTTTTTTTTCTTCCCGGTTTTATTCTGATCGCGCGACCGGCAGAGCCGCGGCAGCGCACGAAGCTGCTGTCACAGAGCTAGCGCCGAGATCCCTCTGACAGAGAGACGACTTTCTACAAAGCCGCACACAAAGGAACCCCCAGTGGTCCTTGCGAGTGCGGTAGCTAACTTCACGACAGTGTGAGCCTGCGGACGGGAAGCGCCACCGCTTTCCTTCTCCCAGCTTCTCGCCCGGCAATTCCACCTCGTCACAGCGGCCGCTGGCGTCTTGGCGTTGTGGGCCCTCTGCTCGGCAAACGTGGTTTAAAAGAAAAGAGAAAAAAAACTACTGCGGGTTTAAATCGTCGCATCTTAATTTTTATGTCTTTAAAAAATGTTTTGGTACAAGGTATTGTGTCTCCTTGCTGAATATAGCTGCAATACGGTCGGTCTCTTTTACGTTCTAGTAGTAGGGTATGATGAAACACTTGAATAGGAAGCCTTCTAATGGAACGACGGTGACACACACACTGTAGAGAAAATGCACTTTTGTAATGCCGCAGGCTGACCATTGCGCCTGACAATCAAATGTGTCGTTTGCTGGCTGGGCCTGGCCGGCACACGACCCAGACACGGCCCTCGCCTCTGTCCTCAACCCACCAGGTACTCGCGCCACTCGCCGCGCCGTTCGTCTCCGGAGAAGAAATGCATCTCGGTGTCCAGGGATACATTTCTCGCTCTAAACATATTGTGGGTCGCTGGCGGGCTTGTTGTAGGTGGCTGCGTGCCGAGTAGCCATGGCCCGAGCGAGGTGTACAACGAGATGTGTTTTTGCCGGGTGCAGGAACATTTTATGGGTTGCCGACCCGGACAGACCGGGTTGAAATTATGCCCTGTGGATATCATCCCAGTCGGTTGAATGAGTAAATGGGCGTGACGCGCGTGTGAGCGTCGTGTGAATGTGTTGGGAATCTCACGTAATGCCGTCCGTGTGGATATCGTTTTTCTGATAAGACGTGCGGTATATATCGTCGTTGATTTCTCCAGCCGAAGCCGATTTCGCCTGTTGTGAGAGTTTTGTTAATTTCACTGGGTAACTCTGTCATGCCTCAAGGGAAAGGGTTTGGTGACATTAGTCGTCGTGTTATGTGATGGCTGAATGGTACGTTCTGCGTCGTCTTCAGTGGTTAAAAAAAACACAAACTTGCGTCGAAAAACACGGTAAAATACTGATTGATCACGTGATTTTTTTAAAACGACACTAAATGTGATTTTAAATATTTTAATTAACAATAAGAATAACTTACAGCCCTTTGTCAAATCCACGACTGGACAGGGTCTCCCCATGCCGTGTCTGTCATGGGAGTTGTTGTTTATTTTTAAGGATAGATTCCGATGTCACAGTCTTAGCCGTTGGCCAGAATCAAAGTGAGGCCACCAAATTAATTGCGTCGGGCTTTAACCACCGCACCACCCTTCCCACCGAGTGCCATCACGTTCCAGCCACCATTGTAACAGTCGGGGGTGTACATTTGCAGATGGAAACTTTGCACTGCATGTCAGCATTACACTTTTGAGGAATCTGCACCATATCCAGTATTTTCTGAAAATGCCTTCCTCTCCACCGACCATGGCAAGCCTTGCTGGAAACTTCGGAAAATTGTGTCTTGACAGGTTTTAAAAATTCAATATTTAAATGGCTTAAAAACAAATGGATGCAGAGTTGTATCTGTTTATTTTTTTCATCTACGCAAGTAACAAATATGCAAGCAATATTTGTCCCAGAAAGTATGACAGGTCGGCATTGAAGAGGAATTCTACTCCAGCCGACAATGTATGTTTGAGAAATGTTTTGGAGTTCAGCTCTTTATTCTGTTTAGGGGTTTCAATACCACAAAACATGTTAAGGCAGAGACCTCAACCCCCATTGGCTGTTTGATGAACATTGTATAAAATTGGGTCTGTGAGATTATAATGAACAATCCTTTGCCAGTCGGCTGCTGGACGATGGCCTCCCCGCCCCGAGTCGGTCGTCAGCGTTGTGTGACCGGACTTCTCCACCGTGGCACTGGCGGGGAAGACGCTGGCCAGGACCGGAAGACGGCTTGGAGTTCGACAAGACGGAAATCTGGAGAGAACATGAACATCTCTCAAGGATTCATTTTTGTAGGTGGCGTGACCCCGAATTGTGTGTTACGCTCGCATACAGATTGTTTAATGGCCACATATTATATATGACTACGGTAGCACACAATCTATTACACATGGGGCTGTTTGGTTTCTGGTGAGTGGCATGGCACCGTGGTGGCATTCATAGTCGTAACTGGGTAAAACCCCAAAGAGAGTTGATTGACCCCGGCCTTGTTTGCGTCTCCTACTGCACAGTTTTTTTTAAACCGTGCCAACGATTTCACTTGTGGCCGTACAGCGACCTCTAGTGTGCGTTTCAACTGGGAAATCGTGTCCGGTGCCTTTACCCCAATTTACCGAAATGCGCCTCGATGTTGAAAAGTCTGAAAGGTTCCAGCCAGGATAATCGCTGTGCATGGGGACTTGCGTGACTAGGCGATGTGCAGTACAGCAACATCAACCCGCACTTAGCAGAATGGTGAAGTATGGTCAAAATACTCCCACGGATTGGGGAGGCCCTCAATGTGCCATGATAAATGGTTACCTCCCGTGTACATGATTATAATGGCCTTCCCCACGCCGTGTTTGACCATACTTCCCCATGTTGATAAGTGCTGCTTAATGCATATGGGGGTACACATTTACAGGCAACGTTGCGACTGAATTCTATCTAAAACACGGACTGAACGCTTCGTGTAGCGTTAACAATTGTGACTTCCTTAACATCAGTAGGAATTGTAACATTTGTAAAAAAGGGCTCTGTGATAACTGAATTACATACGCCGATTAAATCATAATAGAGACACTGTAAAATAATAAAATAATGGAACCGTTATTTGGAGTGTGTGTCTAAGTCTGAGTGAGCTGTTGAACATCAGAATGCGCGGCTCAGTTTTGTGTCACTGGAGTCTTGAACAATCTGCACTGTGGCCTTAAAAGGATGAAATAATAGCGACCATAAGAGGCGACCATTGGGGCAATGGCGCTTCTCTATACCACATTGAGAACACAGAGTGGAGAGCCACTCCATCTGTGTGGGGTCTCCATGTGCTATGAAGAAGGGTCATTGCCCGAAACGTTGAATAAGTTGTAATATAGAGGTGGGCGGGGACTGGGGGGGAGGGACTGGGGTGGGGGTCGGTGGAGACTTTGGGGGGGGGGGGGGGACTAGGAGAGGGTGGGGGGTGGAGGGCGACTCGTGGGGGGTGGAGGGACTCGTGAAGGGGGGGACTGGGGGGACTAGGGGAGGGGGTCGGGGCATGGGGGGACTAGGGGAGGGGCGAAGACTTGGGGGGGGGGGGGAGTCGGGGAGGGGGGCGGGGCATGGAGGGGACTAGGGGAGGGGGGAGGGGCATGGGGGGGACTAGGGGAGGGGGGCGGGGCATGGGGGGACTAGGGGAGGGGCGAAGACTTGGGGGGGGGGGGGAGTCGGGGAGGGGGGAGGGGCATGGAGGGGACTAGGGGAGGGGGGCGGGGCATGGGGGGGACTAGGGGAGGGGGGCGGGGCATGGGGGGGCTAAGGGAGGGGCGAAGACTTGGGGGGGGGGGGCGGGGACGTGGTGGGTCCCCGTGCTAACTGGGTGCCTTGTCACGTGACGGGAAGGGATGGACCCTCGTGTTTGCAGACACAGCAGGAGCAGCAGCAGCAGCAGCTGCAGGATCTGCTACAGCTCGCGACAGGAACAGCAGCGATCGGAGCTGCAGCAGCGGAAGGTGTCGCAGCAGCAGAAGTAACAACAGTGCTGTCAACATCGGCAGTGATAGCAGCTGCAGCAGTGACAGCTGCAACAGCAGGTCCAGTACGTGGTAGGAGCTGCAGCAATTAGAGCAGCAGCAGAAACAGCAATTGTTGAAACAACAGAATAAAGGGCTGCAGCGGCAGCTATAACGGGAAACAGCTGAAGCAACAGCAAGATACGAAGCATCATCATCAGCAACAACAACAGCAGCAACAACAGCAGCAGCAGCAGTAAGAGGCGTGTGGAGAGGTGAGGGTCTTCTGCTGGAACGAGTCGTGGTGCCGTGGTTGTCCTTGTGGTGTTTGTGGTTGTTGTGAATGGTTGTGGTGTTTGTGGTTGTTGTGAATGGATGTGGTGGTGTGTGTGGTTGTTGTGAATGGATGTGGTGTTTGTGGTTGTTGTGAATGGATGTGGTGGTGTGTGTGGTTGTTGTGAATGGATGTGGTGGTGTGTGTGGTTGTTGTGAATGGTTGTGGGGTTTGTGGTTGTTGTGAGTGGATGTGGTGGTGTGTGTGGTTGTCCTTTGTGTGTGTGGTTGTTGTGAATGGATGTGGTGGTGTGTGTGGTTGTAGCCATGCTTGTGTGGTTGAGGCTGGCTGTGGATGTGCGTGAGAGGGTGGTGGTTGTTGTTGGTTGTTGTTGGTGGTGGTGGTTGTTGTTGGTGGTTGTTGGATCGTCGGGGAGCGGTGGTGCAGCGGTTAGTGCTACTAACCTGGTGACCTGAGTTCGATTCCCAACAGCAGCGATAATGATCTGAACCGTTCTTGGGCCTCCCCTAGGTCGACTCGGCCTCGAATGAGTGCCCGGTGCGGTGTGTGAGCATCGCTACTGGGGAGACAAAGGCGGCCGTGCATGGGTTTGGCCACCCACCCCTCGTGTGCCGTGCCGGCCTCCATAGGCACTTGCCCCTACAGTCGGGGGATCGTTGTCTGTATTGATTGTTGTGTTGGTAGTGTGATTGTGGGAGGTTGGGGATGATTATGATGTGGGTGGTTGTGTTGTTGGTAGTGTGGTTGTGGATGATTATGATGTGGGTGGTTGTGTTGTTGGTAGTGGTGGGGAGCGGTAGTGTAGCGGTTAGCGCGCTGCGCTATGAACCTGGCGACCCGGGTTCGATTCCCGCTCACGGCTAACACCATGTGACGATTATCTGAACCGGTCCCGGGCCTCCCCTAGGTCGACTCAGCCTTAAATGAGTACCTGGTGCGGTATGTAAACATCGCCACTGGGGAGACAAAGGCGGTCGGGCGTGGTGCTGGCCACCCACCCCCTCGTGTACCGTTCCGGCCTTCATAGGTGCTCGCTAACAGCACTTGCCCCTCCAGTCTAGTTAAGGCTATACGGGGGATTTTTGTGATTGTGGGTGGTTGTGGATGATTATGATGTGGGTGGTTGTGTTGGTAGTGTGATTGTGGGAGGTTGGGGATGATTATGATGTGGGTGGTTGTGTTGTTGGTAGTGTGATTGTAGGAGGTTGGGGATGATTATGATGTGGGTGGTTGTGTTGGTAGTGTGATTGTGGGAGGTTGTGGATGATTATGATGTGGGTGGTTGTGTTGTTGGTAGTGTGATTGTGGGTGGTTGTGGATGATTATGATGTGGGTGGTTGTGTTGTTGGTAGTGTGATTGTGGGTGGTTGTGGATGATTATGATGTTGGTGGTTGTGTTGGTAGTGTGATTGTGGGTGGTTGGGGATGATTATGATGTGGGTGGTTGTGTTGTTGGTAGTGTGATTGTGGAAGGTTGGGGATGATTATGATGTGGGTGGCTGTGTTTGTATGAACATCGTACGTAGGGTGTCGTTGTTGTGTCCTTATGTCCGGATGTTTGTGTGGGTGGACGTGCGTTGTTTGGTTATGGCCGTGTGGTTGTGTGTCTCTGTGTGGTTGTGTCTGTGTGGTTGTGTCTGTGTGTGTCTCTGTGTGGTTGTTTCTGTGTGTGTGTGGCTGTGTGGCTATGTGTGTAGTTGTGTGTCTCTGTGTGTGGTTGTTTGTGTCTGTGTGTCTCTGTGTGTGGTTGTGTGTCGCTGTGTGTGTCTCTGTGTGTGGTGTTGTGTCTCTGTGTGTGTCTGTGTGTGGTTGTGTGTCTCTGTGTGTGTCTGTGTGTGTCTCTGTGTGTGGTTGTGTGTGTCTGTGTGTCTCTGTGTGTGCTTGTGTGTCTGTCTCTGTGTGTCTCTGTGTGTGTCTGTGTGTCTCTGTGTGTGTCTGTGTGTCTCTGTGTGTCTTCGTGTGGTTGTGTGTCTGTGTCTCTAATGAATCCACTCTCTCTCCCGTCTGCAAGAAAGCCCCAATGGCCGCGCACATTGTCACGGCCTCGATCGTAATTCTTGCTGTGACAATTAAGCCGAGTGGCATCAGCGTGACCATGATTATTCAGCTAATCACTCATTCACAATGTAACGTAATGATTAAGAATTGAATCAGTGACTCAGAATTTAAATGAGCTTCTGTGGTGGCTCAATAAGATGAACTCCGCTGTTTATCATTTGCATTACACTGTACATGATAACCCCTTACAGTAGCGAGGGCTATCTGCAATTGTATATCTTTGGCATGAGCATAACTTATAACAAATAACACGTAACCCGAAAGAGGCTTCATATGATTGCATTTTACACAAGATATTAGTGTCATTAATGTTCATGATGGCTTCTATCCAGGAAAACCTCACGGAGTCTTTAAGCCAATTTTCACAAGACTCCTTGCATTGGGATGTTTTTTGCCATTTTGCAAGTGACTGGGTTTCCAATTTGAGATGTGGAGAGTTACTCCTGATTCAATAGATCAATAAAATACCTCTCTAATCATTCATGCAGTGTGTCCCAAATACATTTGAGGTACGATACCCGTGCAAAGATACTGCATGGGTGGGATACTTTTTAAAGAGGATATTTGTCATTTACCCTTCACGTTTTATCAAGCCCCTTTCACCCAAATAAACAATATTACTTCTAAGTCACCATCGTCATCGGCCATGGTCAATCCACTGCTGGATGAAGGCCTCCCCAAGCCGTTGACAACTCTTAAGATCCTGCAAAGTAATCATTCTCCACCTTGCACCTTAATTGAGCACAGTGCAGTGTTTGAGCAAAACAGCTTTGCGGAACCCCAGTCATCCTTCACTACCTCCTGTTTCATCGCACGAATCAGATTATCTTTGTGTCAACAGCGAGCCACCTCTCTCGGTGGGTCATAGCTCGGTGGGCCACGACATGGCCTTCCTGGGCCACATCTATCAACCCGCGGGCCACCATTTAAAGAACCCTGGTGTACATCATTGCTGTGCCAATGCAATCGTAGGCCGGCCCTGGGTTCTCGCCTCGGGTATTGTTTAATCGACAGGCGCGCTCTCTAAACCAGCCGTGCATCCCACAGGAGTGATGGTTTCCTCCGAGACACTCTGGAAGGCAGTGGGCAGCTGCGACGCAGATGCCCCAAAGAGGGCACAAGGAGGCAAGGGCCCTGCCAGAGGCTCCAACTGGGGCCGTCAGGAGCCTTCCAACGAGAGCCACTCTCCCCCTGCGACGCTGACCGATGCCCTCACAGATGTGGGTTCGCACCGCCAAATGTTTTGTCATTTGACGCCGTTGTTGTCGCTGATGGTGTTACTGCTGACGTTACAGTTGTGGTGGTGTTTGTGCCGGCGTGTAGCGTGTGCCGCGTGTCTGTGTGTGTGTTGTTCCCTTGACTTCCTACCCGCAGCCTTAATATTTGCTCACAACCGGCATTGTAAGCCTTTCGCGTGTAAGACTATGCAGGTAAATATTTGCACTTGCAGGATAATTCAACACTTGGGTTTGTCCTGTAGCATCCTGCCCATGAGCCTTGTCAACTCCACAAGACCTCAAGGGTGATTTAATGTGACCACCACTCGCTGGCTGTTTGGAGGTGTGTTTTGTGTACGCGGTGTAATTATCTGGTGTTTTCTGTAGTTGCATCTCATGCACAGGGTGTTGTGAAAAATACATTATGATTCATCATCATCCTCCGACATGATCAATCCACCGCTGAATTAATGCCTCCTCATTCCGTTTCAATCACACAGTCCCGCGGTACCACAATCTATTTCTCTCCTGCACATGACGACGATGACGACGATCGTGACGATGATCTCTATTTATGACGATTGATCTTTTGACAGCTGGACGAGGAGGAGCTGCAGGCCGAGTTGACCAGAAGCAAGGCGGAGCTCCCGGCGTCGCCCTTCACCTGGGCCAGGAGTCTCGCCTGCGCGCTCAACAACAGGATCTCCGTCCCCGAGTCGGAGCCCGCGCTCTTAAAGCACCCGCACGGTGAGAACTGTGGAAGCCTGAAACTCGACCGCAGACAGGGGCTCGTGCCAACGGGTTCAGGATTTAAGGTTGGGGTCGTCCTAGTGGCTGTTTGGCTAGTTGGTTAGGGGTATGTCTGGTACGAGTGGCTGGCTCTTTAGTCATGGTCAATGGTAGGGCTACTACTAGTGGCTGGCTGACTCATTAGTTATGGTGAATGGTCGGGCTAGTACAAGTGGCTGGCTGACTCATTATGGTGAATGGTCAGGCTAGTACTAGTAGCTGGCTGACTCATTATGGTGAATGGTCAGGCTTGTACTAGTGGCTGGCTGACTCGTTAGTTATGGTGAATGGTCAGGCTTGTACTAGTAGCTGGCTGACTCGTTAGTTATGGTGAATGGTCAGGCTTGTTCTAGTAGCTGGTTGACTCGTTAGTTATGGTGAATGGTCAGGCTTGTACTAGTAGCTGGCTGACTCGTTAGTTATGGTGAATGGTCGGGCTTGTTCTAGTAGCTGGTTGACTCATTAGTTATGGTGAATGGTCGGGCTTGTACTAGTGGCTGGCTGACTCGTTAGTTATGGTGAATGGTCAGGCTTGTACTAGGTACTGGCCTAGTTGTTTAAAGATAGGGCAATAGATTGCTGGGCTAGTGCGCTCCACCTCAAAACTACTTTCCTCTCCTATCGTGACGTAGCACCTATGCTGTTTTTGGCTGTTATTCATTTCTGGTGTGAGCAGCACCACTTGCACTTTAAATAATTATCACTCGGTGATGAGTAATTAATGTACAATGGATGAATTATTTATTGCAATGGAGAGCGCTTGCACAAAGGGCTATTGTGCGGGGTTATTGTGTTGTGCTGTGTTGTGTTTCACCTCTAGACTACCCGCTCTGCTTGGCGAGCAAACGTCTTCGTAACATTATTGAGTCCGTCTTGGTAAAGGCCTCCCTGCTGGAGCTGCAAGGTCTCTTCGATTTCTGCCTGCACATGATTCTTCGAGTGGCGGACAAAGGTATGGCTTGTAATAATAACAATGTATTAGTTTTTTTCAAGGAAAGCCACACTCAATCGTATAAACTCGTTTCAAGAGGGTTCTGCATTGGGTTTTGAGTTTAAAACGTTTTCTGCCAGTTAAGATCCATTATACAAGTGGGGAGGGGGGGGAAACAGGAGCAGCCGGAGACAACCTACACGCGCGACAGGGGGCAGCACTCTATCCCCGGACAGATGTAAATCGATAGAGATTGGTCCGCTTGCTGTACTGCCGTCTCCTGGCGAGCCAGGGTATGGCACTTCAAAGGTTTGGCGTCATCAATCCGAACACGCAGTCACACGCGATGACCAGAGGTCTCATGCGCATGCACAGCACGATTGTCAATCCACTGCTGGATGACGAGCACCTCCCCCACACCGTGCTGGTCATCGGGGTTATTTGATCTTGCTTCACCAAGCTGGTTCGTGTGGGACTGCGATGTTGGGGAGCATAGATGTACAAGCGTGGTACGGTACAACAGCAGATTTTGCTGCACAACCCTCTGATGTCCATAATGGAGTTTCACAGCATGGTGGTTGCCAATCTTAAGCAATATCAAGGCCCAACCCGACTTGGCTTCTGTAATCTCACATGATCGAGCACATTGTGGGTGATTTGCTAAAAACAAAAATGTCACTCATATCGGTAGAACATCTAAATCCTAAGATATGACTTGCAAAGTGCTCAATTGGACCCTCCCCCTGTTGCAAAAACTTGGCATGACCCTCCAGAAAAAAAGTCTTGAGACTCAATTAGGCATTCCTGGATAACTAATCGTAATAATAACAACAATCAAAGAGAATAACTGGCTCATAGACTTTATTGTTCGTAGAAGCGAAGTTGTGTGCAGCACACGCATTGAGTTGATCTTGTTCCCTGTTCTCCGAGGTGACGGATCCCATGGATACAGATTATTCCTGCAGGCCATCGTCAGGAGGAGCCCAGCCGTGGTGCGAGACAACCTCGACAAGGTGAGTCCTTGTCATTGTGCGCACACCGGGTCGTGAAACCTGCCACCCGGGAGTAACCCTCTTGAACCTCGAATTTATTGGAGTGTCGCGGTGGCAAGATGTTAACAACCTCGCCTGATATACAGGATGTCGTGGGTTCGATCATCACCCTGACGCCTGTATATTTGGAGTTTGCGTGGTTTTCCCCCTGATCACGTGGATTTTTTTTCTCCGGGTCCTCCGTTTTTTACCCTACACATTTACAACCATGCATTTAGAGTATTTGGCTGCTATACATTTCCACATTATAAGCCACTCTATTGAGCTATAATTTTTGATTGCCAGGTCGCTTCTGAAAAAGAGCGATACAGCTCAGTGGGCCTTACCTGGTAAAATAAAAAGTAGTTTACAGTTTAAATGGTTTAGTTTACTGCACCGGATCAGCCATTCGATGCCGGTCCCATTCCATGTGCTTTCCATTTCAGCACCACATAACGATCCGGATTTACAACTTCAGAATTAGAATGAGAATCTGTATTCATCCTGGAGGAATCCGATGAGCTATTAAGCTCTTCCTCACAGATTTCCAGCAGGGGCAGGTCAGCAAGTTACAATAACAAACAATAGAAAAAAACATTGTAGTGCAACTTAGAGAAAAGGAAAGGAAGTCACTAAAAATAAATCAATAGAAATAAAGAAAGTTAATGAGCACAAATTGTATAAATACATACATTCCTGCCGATTTTTCAACACTGAATGCAACCTTGGACAAGGCAGAACTCTATGTTTATGAATTCCCCACTTGAGACATTCGTTTGTGTGGGACTGTCTGCGTGGGAGCGGTGGTGCAGCGGTTAGCGCACCGCGCTGCCAATCCGGTGACCCGAGTTCGATTCCCGCTCACGGCGAACACCAGTGACGATTATATGATCCGGTCTTGGGCCTCCCCTGGGTCCACTCAGCCTAAAATTAGTACCTGGTGTGGTGTAAATATCATCACCAAAGAGGCAAAAGTGGCCATGCGTGGTGCTGGCCACCCACCGCCTCGGGTAGCCATTCATAGGTGCTCGCCAACAGCACTTGCCCAACAAGTCTGTCTCTGTCTGTGTGGCAGTACCTGGAGTTGGTGAAGAAGCATCAGAACAAGTCCAGGCGCTGCCTCTGTATCCTGTGGTCGGTGGGGCAAGTGGGGCACAGCGACCTGGCCTCTGGACTCTTGGGTAAACAACCCTGGGACTTTCCGGTGCATCGTTTTACACCATCATCATTGTCGTCATCGCCACCTGTTTTGAAATCGTTCATATGCGTGAGCTCTCTCTGTCCTTTTGTCTGCCAGTCTGTCCTTAACTGGGTGACGATTAACTTTCGTAAGGTCATCCACTGTGAACGAGACATTCGTGTAAAGTTTGATGGCTATTCAGCACCTAGCTAATTGAAAACCAAACAAATTGTTGAAAGTGTTGCCCAAAACTTGAAGACACGGCTAGAGCTCGTAGCCTTGCACAAGTGCCGTCACTGGCACCACTGCCGCTTTGTGGTGAATGCCTATCGCTGTTGTTTTTTGTTCAGTGTGAGTAGCTGCCTTGGCGCGTTTCCCCACAGTGTGGTTTTCCGTGATGCTTCCCGTGCTGGGAGTCAAGTCTCTCTCCGCCTACGCCATCTGCTACCTGGAGCGCCTGCTCGTGTACGTTGCACGGCCACGGCCGCCTTGGGTGCCGTCTGCCACGGCCGCCCTGCTGATGCGTTGCCGACACACCGTGCGGCGGCGTCGCAATGCACGCACGACGCGAGCCGGTTAGCGTCCGCCATGCTTTACGGGGGACATGTCACGCCGGCGAACGGGATGGCGGAGCCGATGATGGCCGGTGGTCAACACTTGCCGCCAAAGGAAGGGAACTCGCCCCAGAGGACGTCCGCCGCTTGACGGCACGACGAGCACGGCTCGTGTGCGGGAGCTGTAATGGCTGATGGTGGTGATGATGATGATGTTGAAAATGCCCGTCTGCTGGGCTGTGTGTGCGGGACAGGCTCCACCCTAAACCCTGCGCCGGCTATGGGGTGCTGGGCCCGCAGGAGCTGTTCCCCGTCCTCGACTTCGCATTCATGCCCAACAACGCGCTGCAGCCACAGTGCGGGAGCCACACGGCACCACAGCCACCCCAGTGCACTCGCTCGCTCACGCACACACGCTTATTCACAAAACGCAGGTACACACACACGCTCATTCACAACACGCAGGTACACTCATTCACACGCTCACTCACGTCACAGAGGTACACACACACGCTCACTCACGACACGCAGGTACACACACAAACACGCTCACTCACAACACACAGGTACACACTCACACACGCTCACTCACAACACACAGGTACACTCACACACGCTCACTCACAACACACAGGTACACACTCACACACGCTCACTCACAACACACAGGTACACACACACACACGCCCATTCACAACATACAGGTACACACACACACGCTCATTCACCACACACAGGTACACACACACACACGCTCATTCACAACACACAGGTACACACGCACACACACACTCATTCACGACACGCAGGTACACACACACACACTCATTCACAGCACACAGGTACACTCACACACACGCTCATTTATGAAACACAGGTAGACTTGCTCACACATTCTCTTTCCCACCTAAACAAACACCCTCGTTTACACATGCTCATTCACTCCGCGCCAATAGACTCCCTCACTGACACGCTCATGCACGCCTTTGCCATCGGACGCGCTCGCACACGCTCCTTCACGCCACGCCAATCGACTCGCTTGCACGTGCCCATTGCACTCGCTCACACACACACACATCTGCAGGCTATACCGAAAGAGGTGCAGAGTACGACGCATATTGTGCACGAGGAGGAGGATTGCCATCTGAACAGATGTGATGGAGCACTGAGAACACTTAACATTGCCGACGATGATTGCTGTGGCCTGGCCAGGCCCAACGTGCAAGCGCGAGTGGAACACATTCTGGAATTTCCGCCACTGGCTCAGGGCCCAGCAACGGAGATACAGTGTTTGTCCGATGCTTGTTTGGGCAAGGGGACACGTTGACCTTTATCGTTGCTGATGTGTGTATGTGTGTGTTTGTGTGTGTTTGTTTGGCCCCAGGCTGCAGATGCAATTGCTTGATCTCTACCCCAAGCTGGTTGTGCTGGCGTACGGCGCGGAGCCAGAGATGGTCATGCACACCTACTTCCCCTCCTTCCTCTCGCGCCTCACCGTCTCCTGCCCGCCGAGGCTCAAGATAGAGGTTCGTGACGCCGTGGGTAACGTGTCGCGATCGTTGTTGCGGCGTCACGCGACCCGCACGCCGCTGTGTAACGAGACGCGAGGCGCGGTCGCGCTGGATTGCACGATCGCGGCACCGTGATGTAATAGCGAGGCAGGGTGGCGTGGGGCGACACGGTCACCGTACGCCGCTTGACGAGATGCCGCCGTGAGACGCGATCGCGTGGGGTGACGAATCTCGTGGTCTCGACGGTGCCGCACGACACTAAGAGACTATTAAACTTCGATGCGTGCGCTGATGAAGTTCGCACGGGACAATGGTAACGTGTTGCGTCCGTGGTTTCCGTGACGATTAACGGGGATGCGCGTGCTGCTTAGCTCCTGCGCAGCCTCACCGAGTGCCTGCGCCGGGACTGGTGCTCGTTTTCTGTCTGGAAGAAGCTCTACACCGCCCACCTGGAGCAGTCCAGGTGAGCTGTCTTTGTTGTCTGTTTCCCCCCCAAAAATGTATCCTGCTTGTGCTACCCCACGTCGCGTCGTGAGACGGAGCGCCCATCTGGATCTCTCGCACCTTCCATGCAAGTGGATATCACACAACAGCCCGTGGAAGCAGAAATCACTGAGCTACTTCTGAATCCCTTCAAATTGGAACCTCTCGTCCACACATTATAGGGGCAGCACTCTCCCACCTGCTCCACCACCAAAAGTAATGTTCGTCGCGTGACGGTTACGCCGATATTTTTCATTGTCAGATTTCGCATTTGGCCAAATTAAGTGCGTAGGCATTGTATGCGGTGGGGGCTTTTTTATGTGCACTCGGACCAATGAACTCACTTCACTTGAGAACCCGATTTAATCACAGGCGGCTGAAACCCGGCTCAGCCCTCTGACCTCTGAGCCTCATGACGAGCTCCCCTATTGGCTCCTTGCTGCAGCCATGTTGCGCACTGTACGCGTACAGTACTGTGGTAATGCACAGCGAGCCTGTGATTTGTATTTGACAACCCGTTAGGAAAATCGTGTAACTGTACCGTTTACGATTTTTTGTTAAATTTCAACGCAATATCAGATAGTTGCGTTGAAGATGTTTGTTACTCAGTCATTGTGGACTGAGTCGAGTCTCATCAAAAATAGAGGCTTTTTGGGTTAGATCATGTAAATATAAAGTGTCGTTAAACCCGCCACCACCTGACAGAGCCAATTAGCAAGATTTGTCACGTAAACAGAACATGCCAAGTCATCACTAGTACAGCCAACCGGTGTGTTGGAGAGTAAACCCACAAGATTTAAAATTCGAGTACTCCAACACACCGGTGTGTTGAACTAGTAACGAATTGGCAAATATTTTTTTTACGTGGCAAACCTTACTAACCTTACTAATTGGCTGTTGGGTGGTGGCGGGTTTAACGACACATTTATATTTACGCGATGTAGCCCAACAAAAATCTCTTATGGATAATATTGATCGCGAAAGCCTACGTGTTAAACGGAGTCTCATCAACTTGCTGAACCTGGAGGCTGCCTTTTTTTGAGCACAGGATATCAGAGATCTGACGTATCCATCATGAATTCCTTGAGCTGCCCTGAATCCTCGTATATAGGCGAGTCTTTAAAATGCACCCCGCGTTTCTTATACAATTGCAGTTATACAACCGCGCGATGAGTGTTGCGTTGTGTTTGTGTGTGTCCGCCTCTGTTGTTTATCTGCAGCATTTTGCTGAGACATCTGTTGGAAAACTGGGGCACTCCTGCAGTTGCCAAGGTCGTGCAGTTTGTGTGCTTTACATTTATATAACACACACTTCTGTGAGCGGAATAATTTCTTTATCATTCCCAAGATTTATCATAAGATTTTCTTTTTGCATGTATTTATTTTTTATCTACACACATCAACATTGATGTGTGACAAGTGTTATAATATTCATAAGCTATGGTCATCTTGGTCACCCGGCTCATACAAATGAGACCGTCCTCGTCTGTTGCTTTCTCACCTGGTCAAACAAAACATTTGAACTTCCCCGGTTCTCCGCACCGTCTGAAATGAAGTCTCGGGCCGTGTACGCCCCGCGGGCCCGAGATTCCCCACCTCCCGATTTTAGAGAACCGGGCCCTACTTAACAGTCCGAGTCTAGCGTCCCGACAAGAAGCTGCATTGAAAGAGCTGACCGACCAGGGGGGGGAGTGTCGGGGTTTGTTCCCACGTTGACAATTTTAACCGTGGCGCTGCCGCCGTCACCGCTCAGGTTTCGACGGAGCGCCTGCGGCGGACGGCGCAGGACTTTGCGGAGACGAACGCGGAGCTGCTGGCCCGCGGGCGCTGCATGGACACGGGCGGGTTCGTCGCCTGCACGCACGTCACGGCGGTGAGACTTCCCCCCGCTTTGGACGCGTGCGGCGCCGGTGTCGGTCCGCCGCTGGGCGAGGGCCTCCCCCACGCCGCGCGGCTGGCGGGCGTCGTTTTGACGACGACTCTTCACCCGCGACGCTGCGCAGTGCGGGTTGGCGAAGGCGGCGAGCGCGGACGTGCCAGTGTCGGCGAATGGATTCTCCTGCCCACTGTGCAGCCCCTCGCATGCACATCACAGCCGGTGTGGCTCTCTCTCACCTGCACACAAACACACACAAAGATCCCATGTTCAGCCTTCGACCATACTCATGGTTTAACACGTAAGCTTTTGCGACCAACACCGCTGTGCTGAACTAGTAACGAATTGGCATGTTTTATTTACGTGACAAACCTTACTAATTGACTGCATCGGGTGGTGGCGGGTTTAACGACACATTTATATTTATGGTATCTAACCCAAAAAGCCTCTATTATGCATACTCGTGGTGGTGGTGACGGTGTTGCGATCCGCTTCGACTTTACATTGGTCCAAGACAGATTCAGATATCAAATACCACTGATGTGCATGGCCAGAGTTGATTTCAGGTGCCCGGGATTGTATCACATGATACTGACTATTACACGACAGCTTTCTGAGCGTATGCTACATCGGCAAAGCTTCGGTGCTTAATGATATCAATTGAGAGCCGTAGGATTCATGCTACGTGCCCTAAGAGTGCGCGTCATCACCTCGCGATCAACGCGTCTCTGTCCGCGAGCCCCGTAGTGTCATGCTTCAAATACGTTGTTAGTTTTAATGTTTGGCGACTAACACTTAGTCTGTGCTCTCCAGTTGCCTTCGTGAAAAGTGAGCCAATGGTTTGCCCGTTCCTAGCCAGCTGGCTGCAAACTTCTTTAACTAACTCGCTAGCAACGGAGTGTGCCGTGTAAACCCGCGTTGTGTCGCACTGCCGCGCGTGCCCAGGATCTCCTGGAGAAGCTGCGGCGGCACCGGGCGTCCTCGCGGTGGCCGTGCCGCCTGCTGCTCGTGGCCTCGCTGCTCGTGGCGCTGTGCGCTTGCGACGTGCACGCCCACGGCTCCTACCAGGGTAACGGCGAGTCCGTGCGAGTCTGAGCGTGTCCCAGCGAGTTTGCCGTAAAATTGGCTGGCTATACTATCTGCTGACTCGGTCTCTAACCAGGGTGGTGATGGGGCCAAGCTGTAGCACAGGTTTACGGTTCAAGCCCAGCGGCCACCCTAGTTAACGGTCTGGGTGTAATCATGAAATACGTGCCATCTGCTCTGCAGTGGACGGTCACAATCCTATGACATTTTATACAAAATTGGCCAAATGTGCCAGTGGCATGGTGCCAATTTGTCAAATTTGATACGTTACTCGCAATTTGCTTAATTGAGAAACCACACGGTGATATCACCCCCCTACTGGCATGCTGAAGCCCACTTGTTGCCCAGTTCAGCGTTGACCTTGTGCCTCACAGGGAACTGGCCTGCAAAAAGCACGATTCTGACCATAGAATCGATACCTCCCATTCACCAGTGAGGTCATTGGTGGCCTGGCTGAGGCTAACAAACAGCTGCAGTTGAGGATCCTGGTCAATCACAGGCGGCTGCCCAGATTGTAACCCAGGATGTCAGCGGTGGCAGGCTCGGCGCTCTGACTCCTGAGCCACGCGGCCGCCTCGCTTAGAAAAAAACCTTTCGACGTGAGGCTCGACAAATCGTTACGGCAGTGACGCACCGCTGGGTTTCCGTGCCGGGTGAATGACGATCGTCTCCGCCGTGTGGATTCTCCTCCGTCAGCCTCGTCCACGGCGCTGCTGCTCCGCAGGGCCAACCTCGACGCGGCGCCGCAGGAGGTGTTGGCGTCGCTCTCTCGCGCCGCCACGCACGCCGGCAGGTAACCGCGCGGCGGGTGCGCACGCACGCACGCTCGCACGCCGCCCCTTTATCCCGGTTGGCAGGACGACGTCACCAGAAGGGGATGGTGGCCGGAGGGCGAAATTATGGACGGAGTGGGAGCCGAAAAGGATGAGGGGGGAAATGAGCCTGAGAATTAGTCCGCCCTGGGGATGGGAGTGATTTAATCAGCTGGTGTGTAAGAGCAAGATGGATTGTTGCAACAATGTGGGGCTATTGGAGATGGTGACATATTGGGGGAGGCCTGCATGGCTGATGGTGGTGATGATGATGAATGCTTCAAGACGATAAGTCCGATTTAGCTTTTGTCATTTCATGAGTCTTAAATGAAAAAGGCTAAACAAATCAAATAAACCACAGCGATTAAGAAAATAGAAATCGGCGCGAACACAATTGTGTCGCATGAAAAATCGAGAATATTTACGTGAATTGACCATGGCTGACGATGATGAGGGTCATATGGATTATTACCATGATTATTATTCTTATTACACTTGATTACCCATGAAAGCCTCGCAGGAGGGTCCTGCCAAGTTTCCACAGTAGGGGGTTGATGTTGATAGTGAGTTATTTGCAGGTAGACTTTCAGCATCGCGATGTTCGTCCCAACAGCAGTCACGTTGTATGTCTTTTGTTTCATTTTCGCTCGACCGTGGGCCGCCGATGGCGGATGATAATGCTGGGCGACGATGCGCTCTCTTGCCCGGGCGTGTTCCCAGGTGGGCGTGGGAGACGGTGCCCGCGTGCTGCTCACGAGCCGTCGTGGCCGCGGGGCCCAGTGTGCGGTGGGCGCGCGAGGGGGTGGTGACGGCGGCGCTGGGCTCGTGGCGCTGCGTCTCAACCGCCGTGCGGGCGCTGTGTGATGCCGTGCCGCCCCTTGTCACCTGGGTACGCGATATATATATTTTTTAACATCGGCTTTCCAACGAAGGTTGGAGCACGTTGACGCATTGGGGACCATCCGTCTGTCCGTAACAGGGTGGCACGATAACTTGTGTGGGGCACGAGAGCGTGAGAATATTTATGTGTACTGGAGGAATCGGATGAGCTAGAAATCTCGGTTTCACAGATGTCCAGTAGTGGCGGGTGAGAACGTTACAAAAACAACCAATACGTTTTATATAAATCTTCCCCATGGTGCCCGCACCACCCGTCGCGGTCTCTCCCCCGGCCAGGCCACGTCGCACTCCTCGCTCAACGCCTCGACGCACGCCCTGGGCGAGCTCGTCTCCTCCGTGCTCGGCCACGGCGGGCAGCTGCTGGCCCCGGCGCGCGACCTGGCCGCGGCGCTCGCGCACGCCGGCCGCCGCGTCTGGGCCGCCGCCCCGGGGGCCATCGCCGCCTTCTGCGCCGGCGCTGCAGAGACGTTGAAATCGGCGCTGCGCGGCTTCTGGCTGTGGCTCGTCGACGTCGTCCCCCGCCGCTGGGACGAAGCCCGGAGGCGCTCGGCGGAGGCGTGGTTCGACGCGCGCCGCAGACTGCTCCCCGACGGGTTTCCCGAATCGCCGGCCGCCGGGGCGGTCGCGGCGGCGGCGCGCGGGTTCGTGACGGAGGCCGTCCCCTCGGCCGCGGCCCGGCTGATGTCGTGGCTGAGCGGCGCCATCCTGACGGCGCTCGGCGACGTGTCCACGTGGATCGAGTGCCGCGTGGAGGAGAGGAGCCTCAACGTGTCGCGCTGGCTGGCGGAGGATCTCCCCGAGGCCTCGACCACCGTCTGGGCCTGGATCTCCGGAGTTCTCCAGTGAGCTTTGTTTGCAAAACGTAAAATGCAGATTCGTGCGTGGCATTGACACTTCTGATTTTCAACGATGCCCGGCCTCGCTTGCGATTGGCCAAAGAGTCCACATGTGTGTTGAAGTCAACGCCGGAACCACCACGGTTGTGCCGACATTCTCGCGCTGTCCGTTGTGCTCTCGCCTCTGTCTCAAAAGGGGCGACTTGTCGCGCTGCATCCAAGATTGCATCCTTGCTCTCCTGCGCCTGAGCTGGGCCTGCCTCAGAGTCGCCGCCCACGTGGTCGGCAACGTGGCCGGCTTGCTCCGCTGATCGCGATCGGAGGTGGGCGTGGGGGGCCCTTGGCTCCGCGTGGAGCACACGATACGTTTCGAAGACGCCTGGAGTCCGACGTCGCTCCACCAGCTCAGCTCCGCTCATCGCGGCCGATTGTGAACGCTGACTGCTTCAGAGGGTCCAGCGGGTCTCATTACCAGATGCCACAGGTGCAACCTTACCAGCTCTCTATCTCTCTCTCTCTCTCCGCTCGGCCACTTGCCCACGTCTTAACGTCCTGCTGCATACCACGTCGGCACCACTGGGTTGTGGTGTCATTGCCGCGTTTGGGACCAGACACGCCGTGTCTTGGTGGGCAGATTTCGTACATAGTTACATCGATCGGTATTTAAGTTGATATTGATGGGTTAATACGCTGTGGGGCTACGTTGTGGGCAGCAGAGAGCAGTGCAGCAAAATCTATTGTTGTATTGTACTGTGCTCCAACGTCTATGCTCCCCGCCTTCACCAACCTACACCGACCAGCATGGTGAAGTATACTCAAATAACCCCCATGACCCGCATGGTATGGGGGAGGCCCTCATCCAGCAGTGGATTGACAGGGTATCTACATGTACACATACTCTATGGGCCAAACAAGTCATGTGAGTGGCAGCTGAGTCTGGGGCCAGCGGTTACCCTCTGCGATGGGTCCTTCTCGGTGTTGTTTCCTACGCTGTGACGTGACCTACCCACGTGCGATGGAGCCACACACAATCCCTAAATAGCTGGCCAGACCAGTACACCAACTGAGCAATAACTAAGTGAAATGGTCCATTCCAACTCCTGATGTTCAAGTCAGTACACACACAAACACGCGTGTCGATTTGTACAACCTTCGTATTAAGAAATACACAGTATTTATTGTTAAGTCTTTTTCACCCAGTTTATTCCAAGTGTGCTATTGGCATCTTGTCATACGATGAAGAGTCTGTCTTCGAAATCTCTTAAAGCAGTGCATTCTTTTTGTCGGAGAAGACCTGCGGAAGAGATTTGCAGATGACTGTTCCCGAAGATGTTTTAAGTGGCCAAGAAACGCGGTATTTTCTAAACTTATTATTCAAGGATGTTGCCTATTTTTTTACAATGGCTTTCTTTCTATGTGGATAAATTGATGCTTCCTACAGGAAACATAATTACTCAGGCCAACAATACGAGTTACTTTAGAGGTGCAACTTAAAATGACGCTACACTACTCTTAAGTTCAGTTTGCATTTATATATCAGCCTCCGAATGCCGGTGTGTGAATGAATGAATGGTTGGTTACATTGCCACGTCCTAGCCCCTGGACCTCAACCGTGCAGGATCAGTGTGGTGTCAGTGTCGCCTTGTCAAACTTGAATGGGGGGAACCCCTTTTCCAAATGCAAGGATCTTATTCCCACCAGTGTGATGTCCCTTTGATGATGTGAGTTCCAGAAATCGAGGGTGTCGATGAAGAGTTTATAGAAATATCGTAGCTATACTATTAACCTATAGATGTATACGCACGGAGACTATAGAAAATCGAGAGTATATATGATAAAGTGTTTGATCAGTGTTTCTGCGTGGCTGAAAACTGTGTCAGCATTTCGGCGTTGCGATGTTACGTCCCGTTTGCACGGTGACGCAGGATAGCACTAATGTTTAATGATGTGATTTATAATGAGAGTCCATTGATGATTTAAGTATGAATTTAAAGTTAATGTTGGACATAAGCCCTTAATTGTGTTTGTTAAGTTAACTGTCAGCGATATATATGCTATTTCCCTCCAACCCTCCAATAAGCAGATAAACTCCCACAATATTATACCGCAGAAGTTACAAGATCCGTACCTACCAGAGAGTCACGTTGCTCCGGCGCGTTTTGGCCAAGTAACATTTTGCCGACGTCAAAATAATTCCGTGGCTGTTTCTATTATCAAAAAGTCCACCCCCCCCCCCCTCGCTCATCTCCTGTTTGGAACCCCGGGCCAGTGTTTGGAAATTCCACATTCCTATAACGGGGACGAATGTACCATTGGACAACCACTGTTGACTTCTGCACAAATTGGTACTCGTTTTAATGGCCCCCAGATGGATGATTGGCCGAGTCAACTCCCATCCAGGAGTTGAACTCGCAACCTTCCAATTGCGAGCCACTCGCTTCCACCACCGAGCCACAATTAGATGACATTGTGCACTTGTGAACGCGTCACAACGAGTTGCGGCGACAGTATGAACTCGGTTGGGTTCGACAGCTGTTTTCCAGATTTAATTGCAATTGATATCCCTTTGCTTCGCCAATACGCATTGCATAAGTCTTCCGAGTTCACTCCCGCGGAGTCTTAAGCCTGTGCAGTAATCGATCGCTCAAAGGCCACGGCATTTCCAGTCCGATGACAGCCGAAACAAAGTTCGTGGCATTGCGGCGGGAGCGGCGTTCCAAGGCGCTTGTGCCGCTACGCCGAACGTGGCGTCCTGACAGGGTGGCGGGGCGCCACGGTGGCTCGGAGATGTTAACTACCTCGCCTGGTATACAGGAGGCCGTGGGTGCGATCCTCACCCTGACGTCGGTTTATTTGGAGTTTGCGGTGTCTCTCTCTCCCCATGGCCTCGTGGATTTTTTCTCCGGGTCCTCTGGTTTTTCCCCGTGCATTTAGAATCACCATGCATTTCAGAGTGTTTGGTTGATGGAAATTTCACGTCATAAGCCACTTTGTTTAGCTATCATTTGTGGCCAGGTCACTTATTAAAAAGAGCTCCATAGCTTAGCGGGCCTTACCCAGTGTGGTGGTGTAAAGTGTTCGTTACTTTCACCTCTTCCAAGATGTCTGACCAGCGTGGAAGAGTAGGTCCAAGATTATATCCTCTTGAGGGGCCTCTCTAGGGCTCTGTCTGGTGGAGTCCCACCGCCAGTGGCGTGAGCGGGCTATTGCAGGGCTGCACCTTTACCTGACTGCACTGGCACTGGGTGCAGCACAACGAGGATTGCCCGCGAGGGTTCGGCACTCGGGAATGTGGCGTTATGGTTACTCGTGTCTCAGTGCAGATTATTTATTGAGAGTGATATTCTGCAGCTCTTCGGATGCCGCGAGTCAGCCCGCGTGTGGATTCTTTGCAGTAACTTGGGCCTGGTGAACTTCATCGTTGCCGAGGGCCACGTAGGACTGCTCGCAAACACCTTTGGTGGGCCACACATTAACACACACGGGTTGCAAACATCCAACTCTATTTCCCTATTTAGTACGGACAAGATGCTTCCAGCGATGGATAAATGTCCACTGCAGGCAGCTTTCGAAGTGGTAGGCCTCGTGTGTGTGTGTGTGTGCTGGCTGTGTATGAAATGAGGTCACGTGCCTTTTCTGCCCTGCCGGTTTCTCAGTTCCCTACCACCGCTGGTTTAGGAGGTTTAAACACCGGGGAAACGTTGTGACGTGTGGGCCACGGTAAGTGGCTCGTAGCAGAACGTTTTTATTTTGTCTTATCGGGCAGCGCACACCTCACCGCACCACCCCCAGAGCTCTTTGCGAGTCTGCAGCTCGTCTGTGCCGCACACCGGCCGGTGAGTTTACTTGGTCCTCAATTCGTCGTCCATTCGGCCTGAGCGCGCGCGACGATCGCACGGAACGTCCAGTCGTGGGCTGGGTTTCCGTGGTTCATTGTTATTGTCAAACCGTACGGCTCTGTTTCATTGAAGAGCTGCAGATGTTGCATGCGGTGAGTGACACTTCTTTAGAGGACCTTGGTCGGCCACTCGATGGTCTTAAATGTGGCTCCTTACACTTCGTGTTTTTAATTTGCAACATCACTGTCGTGAAGTTATTGGACGTTACGTATGTGGGTGTTGTGTGTGTCTGTGTGTATTTCTGTGGGGCGTGATAGCGTAGCGGTTAGCGCGCCGCACTACGATCTCGGCGACTCGAGTTCGATTTATGCTCACGGCCAACGCCAGGTGACGATTATCTGAATCGGTCATGGGCCTTCTCAGGACACTGTAATTGTTTACTCTGTAGCAAATGTATCAAGTAATAAACACCAGCATTTATTACGATGTATTTTCCTTCCCTTTGCAACCCGACACACCTTGCACTGGACCAGTCTGTTACTGATTCACCGTCACGTCGAGTTGGTGTTTCTAAATCGTCTCAATCCTTTTGTAAATCACGTGACTGCTGTGTGGCCACCCCCACTCTGGACCCCTCCCCTCACCCGGCCCACTGAGAACAGACTCCCCTCCGTGCAGCAGCAGCAGCAGCATCGAGTCCCAGATGCAGCCTCTCCCTCCCCATCATCATCTCTCCCGACCCTTGGCTGCCGTTTCTCCACTCCTTTCCCCCCTATTTCCCATTCTTTCTCTTCTCTCTTCCCTTTGCTGTTCCTTTTATAATTCCCCATGCATTGTATCCTTGACTCGACAACCCCTTCCCGTGGGGTGCAGTCACGGGTACAAGACTCGATCATTCCAACGGCCGCCCTCGAGGTTCCACGTCCGAACGATCAGTTGCTCGACCGAATCGCTCTCGAACTCGCGCAACGCGGCCATCGCCTGCCGACACGCGACCAAGTTGCACGCAACCGATGGCGCGTGTGTCGACTCGGATTTGCAGACTGGTTGTAAAAACGACTTCTGGAAGAGAACCCCCCGCACATTCCCTGTGTGTTGTTATTTTTACGATTGTGTTTGAGTTTGTTTACGTGCAACTATTTTCATTTCACGTGAATAAAACCTAAACTCGTGCCTTATAATTTACCGTGTAGAATAGTTGTTAACCAGAGTCCAAAAAAGGAAAATGCTATTCAAATTCAGTTTGCCTCGGTGTTTTTGGAGTAAACCACATTTTTGCCGTGACGCATTTTAACCTCGGAATGTTTTGGTGTATGCTTGCGATGATGCACAAATGCTCCTTTTCCACTGGCACACCCGAGCCGTGCCAGCGCGGGTGCTTTCCTCGGGCCTCGCTGGACTTCTGTAATCTGGCTCGGGGCCAAACAGGGCCAGGGGCGGGGATAATGACGCGGTCATTGTTCGTGATGTCAATCAATACGCTGAAGACACAGCGGCACCTCGTCATCTGTTCACGCCTTCGACTCGTTCATCCCCGGTGTGACGTCAGTGGCATGGCTCTGCTTCTGCAGTGGAAAAACGACCCGGTGCCTCCGAGTCGCGCTAGGCTGGCTTGGCACGGCCCGAGAGCGGCTCGGTTGTGCAGTGGAAAAGAGGATAAAGGGTTTACTGGGTTGTGGAATCACTTTATCCCTGGTTACACATGTGAAAAGTTGGTGAAAGTCACCCTTCCAAATATATGTAGGCCTCCTGGGATCACCTGTTCACCCTTTAAAATCCACTTTTATTCTGTTTGTGCACTTGTCTAGTGACCTTAATGTGGATTTTAAAATACCTTTTTTCAATAAATGTCACAAACATACCAACGAGCCAACGGCTTGGTCTCTGTTTGCGACCACACCGGTCCGTGCCTTTTCTTCCCTCCCCGTTTTTTTCTTTTCTCCTATCTGTAGGCATCTATTCTTTTTAATGAAAATTGTTTTAAACGTGCAGCGGCTAATGAACGAGCGCAAAAAAAAGATAACGCCGAAGCTTGAAGCGCCAAAGCGATGAAAGGTCGAGGACGGCGCCGCTTGCCCAGCGAGGGACTCTTTTTTTTTTTGCCCGCGAGGTGTGGTGTTGACCTTTTGTTCAGAAGATGTTCCCCTCTTTGATGATCACCGCTGATACGAGGGCTCTTCCTCACCCCTGCGCTGGCTCCCGTGTTCGCTTTAAACGCCTCTCCGAAGTGACATTTTGCAAAACAGTTTGTGCTGACGGCGAGAAACTCGTGAAATATAGATCAAGGGACACTTTGGTCCTTTTCCATTGGCGATAACCTTGGAATGCGATAGAAGGCGCTTATTTATTGTAACGCGTTTAATTTGTGCTGCGATACAGACTTGTTGGGCGGAACACGGGGGGGATCACAATGCGAGAGCCTCTTGAAAGACAACCGGTTAGAGGCTTGACAGAGCAGCCTCACCGTGAAGATTGGTTCGGCAGGGAACACGCAATTCGCAGCAAAGGCAGTACCGCAGAGAGGGTCGGTGGGGCTATGGCGAACGATAGCCTTTAGTCAGCCTTGTTCTATCCACTGCTATACGAAGTCCTCCCCAAGTCGTCGCCACCTGCCACGCTGCGGTTTTGCCCGCTTTGCTCTCGCAATGACGCCTGGGAGAGAGCGACCGCCGCGGAGAGACGGAGCGTCGGAATCGTCGCCCTGTTGCGAGAGCTCGATGGATTGTTGCCTCCTCGGCACCTGGGTAGAGATGGCGATGACTTTGAGAGGCCGTCAGTCCAACAGTGGGTAGAGCATGGCTGACGATGCCTATGTTTTAACGACTGTTCATCGTAACCGGCCATGGCGATGAGATTGGGTGCATTCCGGGTGGGTTCGGCTGTAGGCAATTAACTTTTTTCGCACCGTACGTAGCCAACCTGTGCCAATCGGAGGTGCAGGCGGAAGGTCCACAAACTAAACTCTAGTGCACACGCACGGTGCGCCAGGCGTTTTCTGTGAAGGTTCACATCAAGCTGACCTTTTCACGGTATTCGCCGACACCTCGGTTCCCCGCGGTTTGGATATACGACGGGGTCCTGTGCTCTCTGCTTGGGGACTCTTCTAGCCAGTTGGATAAATCTGTTTCCGTAAGGGGGTGGCGGGGGGGAGCTAATTATAACAACGCTGTCTCGACCGACTGGCAAGTTGATTTATGAATGGGGCATTAATAGATGTATTAAATGAGTGGTAGTAGCACACACGTTAAACTCGCAGGCATGTTCATATTAAATTTAGTGGGTGACTCGCAAAAGCCCAGAGACGATCCTATTGCAGTGTCTTGACACGGAGTAACCAGGTCACCTGCTTACACTTTATTAATCCTAAACTCGCACCCGTTGTAGGCACTCCTATGACTGCCTTCCACTGTCACCACACACTCTGCTTCTCCTACTACCCGCTCTCACCTACTCTGCACCTCACCCACTCTGCACCTCACCCACTCTCTCCTATCTCGCCACTGCCCTCTACTACGCTGCGCCTTACCCACTCGCCCGTCTGTCCCGTGCCGGGGGGTCAGCCAACACTCTCCCGGCAACGGCTCGAGAGGCAGCGGCGAGAAAGTTTTGTGGAGTTCGATCGCGTAAACATATAAACGTGTCGATAAACCCGCCACCGCCTAACAGCCAATTCGTAAGGGTTGTCACGTGAACAGAACGTGCCAATTCGTTGCTAGTTCAAGCACAGCGGTGTGATTGGAGAGAAAATCCACAACATTTACAGAGTACAACGTTTCGGCAGTAATTACAACCAGCATCGTCAGGCGGCAGCCAAATGTGTGACGTCTCTTATGTTGGCTCCGCCCCCCTCTGTCCACGTGTTTCGCTTGCGTCCAACACGCAACACACAGCACCGCGTACTCGACAAAGCGCTCGGCTTCATGCGTGTTGCTACAACAACAACAAACCCATCAAACGTTCCTGGAGGAATGCATCGATGTTCTCTTGTCGAGGGAACAAGAGGGCCATAAGAGGACCACAAAGGACGAAGACCACAATGCAGTTATTCAGGAACTATTGATTCCACCCCCCCCTCCCCTCATAACGCACGAAGCTGAGTGCTTGCGGCACGCGTGAGTGTGTGGTGTGTGCGTGAGTGTGGGTGTGTACGTGAGTGTACGTGTGTGTGATGTATGTGGTGTGTATACGTGTGTGGTGTGTACGTGATGTGTGTGTGTACGTGCGTGTGTGTATGTGTGTGTGTGGGGGGCGGTAGTGTAGCAGTTAGCGCACTGCGCTACGAGCCCAGTGGCCTGAGTTCGATTTCCGCTCACGGCCAACACCGGTGGCGATTATCTGAGCCGGTCATGGGCCTCCCCTAGGTTGACTCAGCCTCAAATTAGTACCTGGTGTGTTGTGTAAACATCACCACTGGGGAGACAAAGGCGGTCAGGCGTGGTGTTGGGCACCCTCGTGTACCGTGCTGGAACCTTAATAGATGCTCGCTAACAGCACTTGCCCCAACAGTTTGTTCAGGCTATACGGGGAAATTTGTCTTATGTGTGTGTGTGGTGTGTGTGTGTGTGGTGTGCGTGTGGTGTGTGTGGTGTTTGTGGTGTGTGTGTGGTGTGTGTAGTGTGTGTGGTGTGTGTGTGTGTGGTGTGTGCGTGTGGTGTGTGTGTGTGTGGTGTGTGGTGTGTGTGTGTGGTGGGTGTTCATGTTGCTACATCGAGTCATTAATTCTGCTCCCTCCTCTGTGAGCAGCTTCCACTGCGGCGGCCTCTGGGCTCCCGGCCGCGTTATTAACGCCGTTCATAACCCGCCTTGCACAACAACAACAACCATCGCAGTGTTACCCTTACCGCTCTTGTTTACACCGTCAATCAGAATCGGAATCTTTATTTAGACTGTGGAAGGAGGAGGAGGAGGAATCCAATTATCTTTGAAGCTCTTTGCTTTTTTCTCAAATTTGTTCGCAGTCTGGGGCACGGGGGTTCAGCAGCGAGTGACATCAGCAAACAATGCACACAGACGAACGCCAGGCGTGCAGAATGGAGAAACACGGCGAACAAGCCACTAAATATCAATAAGTAATAATACATTCATTCATTTTATCATTCTGATCGATCAAGATTGGGCCATGCAGCGAGAATAACAAGAAAGCTGAGGTTCACATGACTCGTTTGCAGGAGGGTCCTGCCGAGGGTTTGCTGGAGATCGCTGCGCGTGTCGTCCCGATCGGCTAAGTTTGCAGGTTCCAAAAAAAATAATTCTTTTTTTATTTTCGGACAATATCAGGAACATTTATTTATACTAATCAATCAAGTTCTTAGGTTTTTTCGGTAAAGTCACGTAGGAAAAAAATAAAATAAATAATAAATAATAGAAATAATAATAGAAATAAAATAAAATTATTTCTATTATTTATTTTATTTTTTACCTACGTGGCTTTACCGAAAAAAACCTAAGAGTATGAATCCTTACAGTCACAAAAGCTTCAAATCTAGAATCAATCAAGTCTGTATTTCTACAGCACTTTCGTGCAAAGGATGCCATTCAAAGTGCTGTGCAGATTTACAAAAAAAATCCCCGTGCACAACAGGGGGAGAGAACATACAAACGCCGCGCAGAATAGCGCCCGAGACTAGGAATTGCACGCAGGGGCTTCTTGCCGTGAGGGACGAGTGCCGTCAAGTCCACGAGAGCGACCACCGGTGCGCCGTCAAGCGGCATCTGCTGAGCAGAGCAAGGGGGCAGTGTCTCCCCCACCCGCTCTGCCATCTGGGAGGGCTGCAGTGTTTGCCGCGCACAATCATACGCACGTGATGGCCTTGTGTGTGTGTGTGTGCGGTCATTGTGTATGTGTGTGGTCAGTGTGTGTGTTTGCGGTCACTGTGTGTGTGTGGTCATTGTGTGTGTGTGCAGTCACTGTGTGTGCGGTCATTGTGTGTGTGTGGTCATTGTGTATGTGTGTGGTCACTGTGTATATGTGCGGTCACTGTGTGTGTGTGTGGTCATTGTGTGTGTGGTCATTGTGTGTGTGTGTGCGGTGCTTGTGTGTGTGTGTGCGGTCATTGTGTGTGTGTGGTCACTGTGTGTGTGTGTGCGGTCATTGTGTGTGTGTGCGTATGTGTGGTCATTGTGTGTGTGGTCATTGTGTGTGTGTGCGGTCATTGTGTGTGTGTGTGTGGTCACTGTGTGGTCATTGTGTGTGTGTGTGCGTGTGTGTGGTCACTGTGCGAGACGTGGACCCCCCTGGTGGAGCATCTTCGCCGGTTGGAAACATTTAGGCTGGCCTGCCTACGATCCATCCTGGGTTTAACCAGGCTGGATTGTGTGAGGAGCTCACAAATCCTTGAAAGATCTGGGCAAAGTCCCATCAGTGAGCTCCTCCGGCAGGCAAGGCTGCGTTGGCTGGGTCATGTAGCCCGCATGCCCAGCCACCGCATGCCTAAACAGCTTTTGTTCGGCCGGATCGAGGGGGCTAGACGGGCGCGGCACGGGCTGGAGAAGAGATGGAGTGATGTGGTACAGGAGGACGTGGAGCTGAGTGGACTTGCCGATGACTGGTACCAGCGGTGTCAAGATCGGCCTCAGTGGAGGAGGCTCGTGAAGGACGCTACTGGGCAGTTGGAGGCAGTCGCCCTCCAACAACAACGGAGGGCGGAGGAGCGACGCTCACAACAACGAGCGGAGCGCCGGGTGGCTAAAGCACAGCAAGTTGGCACAGTAGGGGGCACAGGTGGTGCATCAGCCAGTCATCTCGGTCATCTCGGTCAGTCGACCCGTGGCACCTGCTGGGTCTGCCCCGTGACCTCCTGCCAGCGGGCTTTCGACACTTCACGTGGCCTCAAGGTGCACTTGGCCTG